AGTATTGCTATCTCAAAAAACAAGGAAATGATTAACAACTCATTCTTTTCATATGTAACGCTAATGCTCAATCAATCTGCAATCATCTTCTCATGAACTATAAGTCAGACTCACTCCAGATGTTATATTTAGACTCATGATTGCCCATAAAGGAAGATAGATCCTACATGATAGTGCTTGCTTTGTTATCCAACTGATCTTCTGTCCTTTCTGTCATCTTGTGAACCCTGTTCATTGTTGCTCGCAGCTATATTCTTAATTTCTATTCTCATCAAAAATCAAACACTTAACAGGAGAATTAGTAATTTAAAGTCGATGGAAACATTTTCATAGCAAGGAAATATGAACTATGGGAGAGACTGTCCTACACAGAGTAAAAATATTATAGTTGTCACATATGGGACTAAGGACTAATGCCTTCAATTCATTGTCTAAAATATATTCGATTTTTTTATGATAAACATTATTGTCTGTAAATAATCTCGTACTGATTCCCAAAAAATATGAAACAACTCTAAAGATAAAGAATAGTTTACATACCTTCTCTCACGCACAGACGTTCTAGATAAGTAAAAGAGTAAGGGAAGGTGAACAACTCTGTAGCACCTCCCATCCAACCTATACAGGTAAATATATTGGGAGAATCTCAATTGCATACTCCTCGCGTCCTCTCTCCTCGCCTTTTTCTCAAAACACATTGGATGAGAAAGCCAGAGGTCCCTCCCCTCTGACCTTTTCCTCCAATGGGTTTTAAGGAGGAGAGAGGACACAAGGAGTATGCAATAGAGATTATCCCCTAGTCTCGAAATTCCAGAAGCAGTAGGCAAAGCAGGAACATTGGTACATTGTGGGAGGCAACCTGTCTGTCTAGAGAGACTAGTAGCCTAAATATCTGACTGAGCTTTAGTGGTTTAATTAATTGAATCAGTGTTGTTGTAAGAAAAATGCGTTAGATATGATCACTGTGAGTATTAGATCTGTCAGTGAGCTGATTACCTTTATGGGCTTTATATGAGAAGGTGAGCAATACCATGGTATACATGGGCGGTATGGGTGTTAGTTCTGTTACCATGGTATACATGGGCAGTATGGGCATTAGTTCTGCTCTGCAGAGTGGAGTCATGGTCCTGTTACTTTTTAGTCATGTGGTCAGGAAAAACTCTAAAACTCAGGAAACACTACACATGCTCTCTCTTTCTCTGGTTTCACATCATGACATGTTCACTACAGGGAGAGATGAGACACATGCACATCCATAAACAATCATCTTAGCATTTATTGATATTCTTATTTTCAACATAGTTATTTTAAAACCAGATTGTGTATCTATACAACATGACACAGTGATAGAATAATATATTCTGTACATCTCAGAAACAAATTAAAGAGGACAGACAGCCAAGATGTAAGGCAACAAGCTCTTTGTTCATATGGATCTTTCACAGAAAGAATACAGTCATGTAACCAGAATATACAGTAGTACTTCAACATACTTGGAACAAATCGTGTGACAATACAGTAAGGGGACAAGAGGAACCAAAGACACACAGGACAAGACAAGTGAACACAACGCAACAGTAACATCACATGCCTCCTTTCACTCACCCATCCATCCATCCATCCACCCACCTATCCACCCATCCATCCATCCATCCACCCACCTATCCACCCATCCATCCATCCATCCATGCTTCCATCCATCCATTACAGCTCCTCCAAATACCAACACACCTCTTAGGTCGACGGTGAGTCCAACAGCTCGCGTTAGTCTCTATGTCTCAATATTCTGAAATACCTTTATTTTATCCTAGAAACCTTACCCATGACCAGGGGAATGGCAATGGATGTTTTAACCAGCCAATTAAAGACATCTAGCCAATAAATTCAAACTTATTGAAATCAATATGGTACATAGGGACAGTGAGAACCTTCTCTCCTTCACAGTGATGTGATCAGGTTTGTAGTGGTCATCAATATGATCAATAGAAAAAGAGAGAAATACCCCAGTGTTAGTACTCATTCAGGTAATACAGGACGTCTTGCATTTTAGGTGTTGAACTCATCCATACTACATACAGGATAACATTGGCAATTGCACCATATACACATTAGATACACAAATTATACCTTAATTCAAAAGTTCATAAATTAGTAGATTTCTCTCATTTTGCCGTTACACAGAGTTTAAGATGATAGACACCAAAGCAGAGGACATACATTTTCTATAGTCTGCGCAATAATATCTAATTTAAAAAAAGCTATTCTCAGAAATAACACACATCTGACTGACGTTACCGGACTAGTAGGCTATTCAGTGATCATAATGGTAGCCAAAACAATGACTCTGCACAGTGCACACAGTGAGAATATGATATGTTATATGTCACTGTCTGTAGAAACACAGTAGAACAACCTGAGTTTCCTTGCATTGCTTATTATCAGAGTATTGTCAGTTTTAGATAAGTCTATTCTGAAGTGATTGGCTAAATTGCCATTGAAGGACTATGGATGAGAAGCATCAATGAGAGAGACAACCCTACTCTGTGCCTTGTTAAAGTGAAGTGAGGAGCTACAATGCTACCTGTCTTATCATCAACAAGTTGTGATTATATTGGAGTCCCATGAACACTAATGTAGTGTAATTGGTGTGTAAAACAGTGTTTGTGTTTACACTCCATTACATGTTGATTGTGTTAGACTACCAGAAATGAAATAGGTGTTTCACTATAGAGATCAACCCTGACAATTCTGATCGATGATTGCTAGGTTTAACATCTTCTTTATTTCAGTTATGAAAAGAAAGGAAATTCTGGTTACATGACTGTATTCTGGCACAGTGGTCTAAGGCACTGCATCGCAGTGCTAGCTGTGCCACTAGAGATCCTGGTTTGAATCCAGGCTCTGTCGTAGCCGGCCGCGAATGGGAGACCCATGGGGCGGCGCACAATTGGCCCAGGGTAGGGGAGGGAATGGCCGGCAGGGATGTAGCTCAATTGGTAGAGCATGGCGTTTGCAACGCCAGGGTTGTGGGTTCGATTCCCACGGGGGGCCAGTATGAAAAAATAATAATGTATGCACTCACTAACTGTAAGTCGCTCTGGATAAGAGTGTCTGCTAAAAGACTAAAAATGTAAAATGAATACAGAGATAATCAATCAATTACAATCTAATAATTATAAATATATTTATTGATACAAATTCAATAACCCCCCCCCCCCCCCAAAATAGTCATTCGTATTTTACTCAATTGCTATGTACAGTCAAAATGATAGCTATTATTATTAAAAGATCATTCACATCAAATAATTATCATTGAGGTGATTATCATGTCATAGAATATGTGACTACACGGTATTGGCACTAGTTTACGTTACATGTTGTAGTGGAATGAGAAGTTAACTGTCCAGTACAATAAAATAAGATAATGAATGTATTATCCCCATGGGGAAATGTGGTTTGCGGCTCTACAGTCGTGGTCAAAAGTTTTGAAAATGACACAAATACTAATTTCCACAAAGTCTGCTGCCTCAGTTTTGATGCTGGCAATTTGCATATACTCCAGAATGTCATGAAGAGTGATCAGATGAATTGCAATTAATTGCAAAGTCCCTCTTTGCCATGAAAATGAACTTAATCCCCAAAAAACATTTCCACTGCATTTCGGCCCTGCCACAAAAGGACCAGCTGCCATCATGTCAGTGATTCTCTCGTTAACACAGGTGAGAGTGTTGACGAGGACAAGGCTGGAGATCACTCTGTCTTGCTGATTGAGTTAGAATAACAGACTGGAAGCTTTAAAAGGAGGGTGGTGCTTGAAATCATTGTTCTTCCTCTGTTAACCATGGTTACCTGCAAGGAAACACGTGCCGTCATCATTGCTTTGCACAAAAAGGGCTTCACAGGCAAGGATATTGCTGCTAGTAAGATTGCACCTAAATCAACCATTTATCGGATCATCAAGAACTTCAAGGAGAGGTTCAATTGTTGTGAAGAAGGCGTCAGGGCGCCCAAGAAAGTCCAGCAATCGCCAGGACTGTCTCCTAAAGTTGATTCAGCTGCGGGATCGGGGCACCACCAGTGCAGAGCTTGCTCAGGAATGGCAGCAGGCAGATGTGAGTGCATCTGCACGCACAGTGAGGTGAAGACTTTTGGAGGATGGCCTGGTGTCAAGAAGGGCAGCAAAGAAGCCACTTATCTCCAGGAAAAACATCACGGACAGACTGATATTCTGCAAAAGGTACAGGGATAGGACTGCTGAGGACTGGGGTAAAGTCATTTTCTCTGCTGAATCCCCTTTCCGATTGTTTGGGGCATCCGGAAAACACCTTGTCCGGAGAAGACAAGGTGAGCGCTACCATCAGTTCTGTGTCATGCCAACAGTAAAGCATCCTGAGACCATTCATGTGTGGGGTTGCTTCTCAGCCAAGGGAGTGGGCTCACTCACAATTTTGCCTAAGAACACAGCCATGAATAAAGAATGGTACCAACACATCCTCCGAGAGCAATTTCTCCCAACCATCCAAGAACAGTTTGGTGATGACCAATTCCTTTTCCAGAATGATGGAGCACCTTGCCATAAGGCAAACGTGATAACTATGTGGCTCGGGGAACAAAACATCGACATTTTGGGTCCATGGCCAGCAAACTCCCCAGACCTTAATCCCATTGAGAACTTGTGGTCGATCCTCAAGAGGCAGGTGGACAAACAAAAACCCACAAATTCTGACAAACTCCAAGCATTGATTATGCAAGAATGGGCTGCCATCAGTCAGGATGTGACCCAGAAGTTAATTGACAGCATGCCAGGGCGGATTGCAGAGGTCTTGAAAAAGAAGGGTCAACACTGCAAATATTGACTATTTGCATAAACTTAATGTAATTGTCAATAAAAGCCTTTGACACTTATGGAATGCTTGTAATTATACTTCAGTATACCATAGTAACATCTGACAAAAATATCTCATAACACTGAAGCAGCGAACTTTGTGAAGACCAATACTTGTGTCATTCTCAAAACTTTTGACCACGACTGTATATTAAAATATGTCATCAAGCACAGAAAAGACAAAAACAAATATAGACAATACAAGAATAGAAAAGTGCAAATCATGGGTGGTTTTATAATGATTCAACTTGACACTATATACACTTTTCAAACTCTAACCTGAAATCAAACATGTCAGGCTTATTGAAGAGTGCTCAATACATCATTATTGAGGTTATGTTGAATGATAGAAGTGATCAGCCTAACACGCTAATTCCAAAATAAGCAATATAGATTAAGCTCAATATGCAAACAACATACCAATTGTATTATTGAATGTAGACGTCAATGGACATGCTCATCAATGCATCATACTCTAACAATGTGTTAGCTGAAGCCTAGCGTTGTGCATAAGAAGGGGTCCAGTTCAACCAGAAGGGTTTTCATTATTAAACATGAAACGGCTCCTTTCCTCAGCACCATGTCAATGACTTCCCGGGCCTTCTCTGCCCTCTCAGGAATCACCTTTACTGTCTCCATTTCATGCTTATTAATAACTTTTTGTTGCAGAAGTCCATCCAGCAGATCGTCAACAACTGACTTTGACACACGATCCACAAAGTCCTTTCGTACAGAATGCAGTTGCTTCTCTGCCGAATCACTCTGACTGTTCTCAGCCTGATCCCCTCCCACTAACACAGCACCTGGGAGTCGGGAAAACAAAGACATTCACTTGTGTATACAGTTATGTATGCTGTGCAACACCAGTGTTTACGAGAACGGTGCAGCAGGAGCTGATCCCGTCTGTGTCCCTTCTAACATCACTAATCCATCCACATTACAGATGAGTCCACAGTAAGGTGGGAATGGTGGTTGGATGGGTTTAAAGAAAACCTTCTCATATACAGGCCTTGAGGTCCGAAACACAGCTGGATTTCATCTTTCATCTTAGAACTAATTTAGATATTGGACACCTTGACCATGTTCAGTTGAGTATATGTTTGCAAAATATGTTTTTTTAACGGAAAACAAAAAATGAGTGTTCCTTATTGGACAAGTTCAAGTTTCCAAATATGTTTTGTCCTGTTGTGCCTACTGAACATGATGTTAGAGAAATCTCAATTGTAGACAACCAGTGAGAAAAGACAAACCAGCAGTACTGTGGACATTGTGGCTCAGGTATTTTAATGTTTTAATTTACAGAATCATTGTATAGTTTTACCTGGCAGAAGGACACGTCCTGCCCACACCTCATCTCCATCAACCCCTCTCTCTAGAAGCCTCAGCTCTACATGTTCCGTGTCTGGGTTCAGGAACACCTGAAAGGTGGGGTGGTAGTTTGGACCATAGCCCCAGTAAATCTGAACACGCTGAAACACAAAGTGACAGTAGTTAAATTAAATTAGATTGCAATTTGTACTTGTGCTGTTATCAAACCTTTTCCTTGTAACTCAGACACACCACAACGATGAACAGCTAAAAGCAGTGTGTGGCTGTCCTATCGCTTGGTGTCACTGCTGTGTTAAAACAACCACCTGCTGGGTGTCGATGAATGGTGGCTGTTTGCGTCGATTCAACATGTAGAATCTTCTGGAAATAAACTGAAAATGGCATCTGATTTTCTAATCAAAGGCACTCGGCCATCCGTTGCTCTGGTGTGTTTCCGATCTTAGGAGTGGAGCACTTACCACTTACAGAGTTGTTTAGAACAAGCCGTCTATACAACTTACAGGATCAGTGACACCTCAGCAAAGTGAGGTAATTATTATCATGGAATGTACAATTTTTTGATTGGTAAATTAGTCTATCCAGCTATCGAAACTTGTAGTAATCATGGCCGAATACCGACCGGGGCACATGCCCAGGGGCCCTGACCTCTAGGAGGCCCCCATTGATTTTGTTAGTCACTCTCACTCAGATATCATTAACATGGCATTAGTCATGGCAAAATGTGTAAAATTGCAGGAAATTAGCTGTAAAACTAAAACATTATTCTCTCTGCCCCATGGGAAAATTAGTAGAATTGCATGAAATAAAATGTATCTCCGCACCATTGCAAAATGTGTGAAATTACAGGGAATTAATTTTAAAACGTAAATTTCTCTCCGCTGTCACGAGGAGGGACACTAAAATGTTTTGCCCACTAGGTGGGGCGGGGAGCCGGCCCTGAGTGTACATCTGGCACTATGTGACGTCATCATCACTATGTGACGTGATCATCAGTATGTGACATCATCAGTAAACAACATCAGTCAGAGTCTACCTTAGCTTTAGGGTAGATGTCCTGTATCTTCTTCAGATCACAGGAGAGACTGTAGTTTTCCCCTCGACTTAGAGTGCAGTCCGAACAGACCGGTATGTAAGTGTTCCCTGTCTGTTGCTGCTTCACCTGCCAAAGAATAACAGATGATTATCAATGAGGACACAAAGACCTAAAGGAGGGAAAATGAACACTACCTAAATGTTTTGTCTTGTTCCATGTTTTGAGAATAAAAAACAAATATCTAAGCTTTTTAGAATTTGAAGTTGAACAAAGTTACACAAGGTGAACGCAAGAACATGCTAAACCATTTCCTGCCACGTATAAAAGAATCCCCCCAATTTTATTTTTTCATGATTTCATAATTTTTTTGCAGACTTTTTTAGGTAAGCATCACAGTTCTAAAATACATGACAAGACATGTTTAGGTTAGTGCATGGATTTGGTCTGTACCTCATTGAGGGGCACATTCGATGGCAGGACGATCACATTCAGAACTGACTGAGGATGACCGAATGATTGGAGGAAAGGCAACACCTGTCCCTTGATCGAGAGGAAGGGTAGAAACATTCTGACGAGGCCCCATAAGGAGAGGTCTGTGATGTTCACCACTACGTGCGTGTCAGTCACCCTCAGTGGTGGTAAAACCTCCACACTGTCACCAGTAACATGGGCCACAGACAGGGAATCAAGACCCTCTCCTGCAAAACAGATATATCTTACTCATCCACTGTGTCATTTGGCTGTTGTAATGATCATCTTGATGATAGTTGTGAGTGGTGTGTAACTCACCAGAGAGAATCTCACAGTGTGGGAGGTGTAGCTGACAGACAGACCCCTGAGGACACTCAATACTGAACAGGGGTCCTGCAGGAGTCTGGCCTGTGGAGTGCAGGAGACTCTCGTCCCATTGGACAGTTCTGTACAGCACCTCCCCCTCCCCCTCCATCAGAAACACCAGCCCTGTCAAACTGCACTGGAACAGACCTGCATGGGAGCACTGGAGCCTGGGGGGCCACAGGACAATTATCACAGTTACAATAATTATAACAAATCCTCTGAATCAAATGTTACAATGTTTTCAGCAATACATTGTTACCTGCATGACGTTTCTGTAAATTCCGTGGATGTTTCAGGTGTTAATTTTGTCACAACAGTAAGGGTCTGAAACGCAGAAAGAACACCAAATCAGCAGTCCTATAGAAAGACCACCTTCGATCTGCACTGCAGTCCTCTTAAAGGGCCAATCTGCAGTTGAAATAATAACAAATCTCTTTCCACACCACTGTTTCGGTAAAAAGCTGAGAGTCTAAAGAAATGTAACCACTCTTTAATTCATAGACATACAGTGCATTCGGAAAGTATTCAGACCCATTGACTTTTTCCACATTTGTTACGTTACAGTCATATTCTAAAATTGATTAAATTAAAACATTTATTGTCTTTCGTGTCATAAATAATCCTTGGTTCCTGCCTGTGCTTGGTAAAGATATGAGGGGGGGGGGCATTATGACCCCCTCCTTAGGACCATCTGGCAGAACACCCAGAATATGTTCTATAAGTTAAGATAGGCGACGGTGCCAGACACATGCCGGAACCAACCCTATGAACCATGCCTATGTAACTTGTCTGTATAAGCAGTACATAAGAAATCTAACGGGACCGCCCCGACAGAGCTCACTTCAGACCGGTACATTATGCATCTAAGTTCGACTGTGACCTCTCCAGCTTGCTGTTAATAAACAATGATTTATTTAAGATTGACTTCGAGTGTCCCTGCATAGAATTTCCACGACACACATTCTGCGTTGTCTTGGCTGTGTGCATAGGGTCATTGTCCTGTTGGAAGGTGAACCGTCGCCCCAATCTGAGGTCCTGAGCGCTCTGGAGCAGGTTTTCATCAAGGCTCTCGCTGTACTTTGCTCCGTTCATATTTCCCTCGATCCTGACTAGTCTCCCAGTCCCTGCCGCTGAAAAACATCCCCACAGCATGATGCTGCCACCACCATGCTTCACTGTAGGGATGTTCCCAGGTTTCCTCCAGACGTGACACTTGGTATTCAGGCCAAAGAGTTCAATCTTGGTTTCTTCAGACCAAAGAATCTTGTTTCTCATGGTCTGAGAGTCCTTTAGGTGCCTTTTGGCAAACTCCAAGCGGGCTATCATGTGCCTTTTACTGAGGAGTGGCTTCCGTCTGGCCACTCTACCATACAGGCCTGATTGGTGGAGTTCTGCAGAGATGGTTGTCCTCTGGAAGGTTCTCCCATCTCCACAGAGGAACTCTGGAGCTCTGTCAGAGTTACCATCGGGTTCTTGGTCACCTCCCTGACCAAGGCCCTTCTCCTCTGATTGCTCAGTTTGGCTGGGTGGCCAGCTCTAGGAAGAGTCTTGGTGGTTCCAAACTTTTGGTACCCTTCCCCAGATCTGTGCCTCCACACAATCCTGTCTCGGAGCTCTACGGACAATTTGTTTGACCTCAATGCATGGTTCTTGCTCTGAAATGCACTGTCAACTGTGGGACCTTATATAGACAGGTGTGTGCCTTTCCAAATCATGTCCAATCAATTGAATTTACCACAGTTGGACTCCAATGAAGTTGTTGAAACATTTCAAGGTTGTTTTAGTAGTCTTTTAGTAGCCTATTGGCTAGCAAGCAAAATGGCTGAATTGAGCAAAGGGTGTTCTCCTGCTTCTACACAAATTAGTGAAACATCCTTTGACTCTATCGCCGTCCATAAGGCCATTAAATGCATTTTATGTGACATGTTCACGGTCATCCCAGTGAAGGACCTTTCTGAAAACTTCACCTGTGTCAAATGCCACAAACTAAATACTGCCAAGAAGAGGATCATTACTTTACTTGAGGAAATTAAACATCTGGATGAGAGTCTAATTTTGAATAAGAATGCCTCACGTTTAACCGCATTTGTTGATGCCTCTTTTCAAAGAGACGACTGTAATGGAACTTTTATGGATCTTGAGCATTTCCCCACCTTACGGCCTTCTGAACCTAGCCAAAATTCGGATGCTATCAGCGCTACCCCTGGCGGACATGAATGGAGTGTGATTGGATCCAGGAGGAGGAAGAGACCCGCACCCCAGCTTTCCGTGTTGTACTCGCAGGGTTGTGATTTTGGCTCAAAATGATTTGAGAGTTTACTGTCCCTGCTGTCTTCCTCAGGGTGTACGGACACAGGGTATGCAGATGCTGTAGCTTCTACACTGACGACCACCAGCGCTCATCATTGGAAGCTCAATGGTAAGGAACATCTCCTTGACTGGGATTAGAACCCTATGCTATCCGGGTGCAAAAGTAAAGGATATCACTACGCTACTTCCTGAAGCCATAAGCCAAAATCCACAGACAGGTACTGTTATAGTACATGTGGGATTTAATGACACTAAGTTAGCCAGCTCTGAACTGCTTAAAAGTGACTTCATGGAAGTAATTGCAAAACTGAAATACCTAAACAAGCGTCCCATTATATCGGGTCCCATACCCACGATGGGACGTGGTTACGGTAGAGTCAGTAGGTTGCTATCACTTCAGGTCTGGCTAAAGAGTTCTTGTAACTCTGTCAATGTTGTCTTTATTGATAACTTTGACACTTTTTGGAAAGAGAAAATATTCTACAAAGAAGATGGAATTCACCCAAACTATCTCGGGGCTTATACATTGCAAGGCCATTTTAAGGCTGCTCTGAGAGACTGACTGGGATATAACCCGCATTCTACCCAGGTTATCCCAACCATCATCACACATCAAACTGTTTCTGATGTTAAATACTCTAGTCAAGTCAAAGAAAAATCTATATTATCTCTGTCTTAATTTCAATAGGATTTAAACAGCCACCAAACAGATGCAGACGCAGGCCCATCGGGGCAAGCTTTGATAACCTAATTTCTATTCCTATGAAATCTCTTGACTTACTTAATGATGAAGTTTATAATGACCTGGTTAGGGTAAATATGGACACCCCTGCTGTTTTTATGTTTCAAAAAGGGCTGGGTTTGTTACATTGAAATGTGCGAAGTATGATGTCAAAGATGGCACGAACACAGACATTCTTGTTTTATCAGCGACTTGGTTAAATGATTGGATCATGGATAAGGACATTGACATTGCTAATTACAACATTTTTAGATGTGATAGGCAGAGAAAAGGTGGAGGGGTGGCGATGTATGTGAAATCCACTTTTGTAGCATCTAGACTTGACTAAATGCTTAATATCACTATACCCCAGAAATGTGAAATCCTGGTTTTAGATGTGACCATGAGCCAAAACGTGCATGTATTTGTTGCTGGAGTGTATAGGCCTCCTGCTACTTTAGTTGATGCGACTAGTATCATAGCTGAGCATTTAAACCCTTTTCTATCATCTGAACTGGTGGTCTTAGGTGAATTTAACCTGGACTGGCTGACACCTCCAGTGAGGGAAAAAAGTATTTGATCCCCTGCTGATTTTGTACATTTGACCACTGACAAAGACAAGATCAGTCTATAATTTTAATGGTAGGTTTATTTGAACAGTGAGACAGAATAACAACAAAAAAATCCAGAAAAACGCATGTCAAAAATGTTATAAATTGATTTGCATTTTAATGAGGGAAATAAGTATTTGACCCCTCTGCGAAACATTACTTAGTACTTGGTGGCAAAACCCTTGTTGGCAATCACAGAGGTCAGACGTTTCTTGTAGTTGGCCACCAGGTTTGCACACATTTCAGGAGGGATTTTGTTCCACTCCTCTTTGCAGATTTCTCCAAGTCATTAAGGTTTCGAGCCTGATGTTTGGTAACTCGAACATTCAGCTCCCTCCACAGATTTTCTATGGGATTAAGTTCTGGAGACTGGCTATGCCACTCAAGGACCTTAAATGTGCCTCTTCTTGAGCCACTCCTTTGTTGCCTTGGCAGTGTGTTTTTGGTCATTGTCATGCTGGAATTCCCATCCACAACCCATTTTCAATGCCCTGGCTTAGGGAAGGAGGTTCTCACCCAAGATTTGACGGTACATGGCGCCGCCGTCCATCGTCCCTTTGATGCGGTGAAGTTGTCCTGTCCCCTTAGCAGAAAAACACCCCCAAAGCATAATGTTTCCACCTCCATGTTTGACGGTGGGGATGGTGTTCTTGGAGTCATAGGCAGCATTCCTCCTCCTCCAAACACCGTGAGTTGAGTTGATGCCAAAGAACTCGATTTTGGTCTCATCTGACCACAACACTTTCACCCAGTTCTCCTCTGAATCATTCAGATGTTCATTGGCAAACTTCAGATGGCCCTGTATATGTGCTTTCTTGAGCAGTGGGACCTTGCGGGCGCTGCAGGATTTCAGTCCTTCACGGCGTAATGTGTTACCAATTGTTTTCTTGGTGACTATGGTCCCAGCTGCCTTGAGATATTTGACAAGATCCTCCCGTGTAGTTCTGGGCTGATTCCTCACCGTTCTCATGATCATTGCAACTCCACGAGGTGAGATCTTGCATGGAGCCCCAGGCCGAGGGAGATTGACAGTTCTTTTGTGTTTCTTCCATTTGCGAATAATCGCACCAACTGTTGTCACCTTCTCACCAAGCTGCTTGGCGATGGTCTTGTAGCCCATTCCAGCCTTGTGTAGGTCTACAATCTTGTCCCTGACATCCTTGGAGAGCTCTTTGGTCTTGGCCATGGTGGAGAGTTTGGAATCTGATCGATTGCTTCTGTGGACAGAAAGATTTTTGGCTCTCAGGTGTCTTTTATACAGGTAACAAGCTGATATTAGGAGCACTCCCTTTAAGAGTGTGCTCCTAATCTCAGCTCGTTACCTGTATAAAAGACACCTGGCATCTTTGTCAGTGGGCAAAGGTATACAATCAGCAGGGGATCAAATACTTTTTTCCCTCACTGTATCTCAGATAACTTTAAGAGCATTTGTCTTGATCTTAATCTAACCCAGTTAATCACAAAACCCACTCGGTTAAATGTGAAAAATAAATAACCCCCATAAGTACATGTTTTTTGGTGTGTT